AGTCCACACAAAGAAAGCCACCTTAAGAGGAGCCTTGGAACGCCAAACAGACTTCCAAGGAAAACGAACATCAGGATCAAAAGAGAGACACTTGAAGAAAGACCTCACCTCGAAATGCCTCTGAGAGTTTACTGCCCAAGACCAACAATCCGAGTCCTCCATAATCCTTTGGCGATACAGCAACTCCAAGAAACGAATGGCCTCCTCGATCTCCCAATCCTGAAAGAAATGCTTGAATCGAACATTCCAAACCAGTCTCCCATTATCAAGATGATAACAGTCGACCACCATGGCCTGCCTATCCGAAGCAATCCTGTAAAGCTGAGGAAAAGCGAGAGCAAGAGGAAAATCTCCACACCACACATCCTCCCAAAAGCGAATCCTCCTCCCATTTCTAAGTCGAAACTGAATGTGTTTGGAAAATTCATCCCAACCCTTCTGAATAAATTTCCAAATCCCGACCCCCCGAGGATCCCGCATTTCCAAAGAACTCCACCCTCCTCTCAACTCCCCAAAACGACACGCCACAACCCTCCTCCAAAGCCTATGTCTCTCCACACCAAATCTCCACAACCATTTCCCAAGGAGGGCCTTATTAAAAGCCACCAATTTACGGAGACCCAACCTACCATTCCGAATAGGCCTGCAAACCTTTTCCCATCGCACCAAATGAAACTTAAACTCTTCACCTTTACCCCCCCACAGAAAATTACGCTGCAACCTCTCAATCCTCTCCGCAACTGAAGAAGGAATCTAAAAAAGAGAGATAAAATAAGTGGGAAGGCAAGAGAGGGTGCTCTTAATCAGAGTGACCCTGCCGCCCTTGGAAAGATACTGCTTCTTCCAACCCGCTAACCTTCTCTCGAATCTGTCCACCACTGGGTGCCAAATCCCAACACATCTCGAAGGAGCACCCAGAGGCTAACCTAAGTAAGAAATGGGAAATGACCCAGTCCGACAACCAAGAATGTCTGCAAAAGCCTCAATCTTAGGGACCTCCCCAACCGGCACCAAAACACTCTTGCCCACATTCACTTTAAGGCCGGAGACAACTTTGAACCAAATCAAAACACATCTCAGATATCTAATCTAGGACACATTCGCATCACAAAGAACTAAAGTATCATCAGCAAACATCAAATGAGAGATCTCCAACTGAGAAGCAACATCCCTTCCCACCCGAAAGCCCCTCAAAAAACCCAATTCTGTAGCCCTTCTCATCAATCTACTAAGGGCCTCCATCACAAACAAGAACAAGAAGGGGGAGAGAGGATCCCCCTGTCTCAAGCCCCTTGAGCTAGAGAAAAAACCGGAAGGAGCACCATTTACAAGGATCGAAAACCGAGCAATGGAAATGCAAAAGTGCATCCATCTCCTCCACCTATCACTGAACCCTCTCCATCAGGTAAAGAAGGAAGCTCCAACTCACATGGTTATACGCCTTCTCTATATCCAGTTTACAAAGAACACCCGGGTCCTCACTACGTAATCTGGAGTCCACACACTCGCTCGCAATAAGAACTGAATCCAAAATCTGACGACCTCCGACAAAAGCATTTTGAGAATCCGAAATGATACCATCCATAACTTTTCTCAATCTAGAAGCAAGCACCTTGGCAATCAACTTGTAGACACAACCCACCAAACTAATAGGGCGAAAATCCCTAAGATCCAATGCCCCCCGCTTTTTCGGAATGAGGGCAACAGATAGTGAATGTGTTCATTTTTTCTTTCATTTCTTTTATTAGGTGGAGTTTTTTTTTTTTTTTTTCTTTGTCCTGCCATGCGCATGACTACTAATTCTTTTTTTCTTTTTCTCTCTTGGGTACCGCTTTCCTCATGGTTGCTGTGTTCTATTCTTCTTAGATGGACTATCTGGAACAGTTCTTCAAGGAACAACTCAGAATCATTCAGGACGACCGGGATGCAAAGGAGGACAGTTTTGAGAAGATGCAACAACAGGAGCGGGAGAAAGTCAAACAAACAAATACTACATCTGATCACAGGCACAGGTAATATGCCCTTTTTGTGCTCTTGAGTGCTGGCATTGCATGTGAATAAATGATTCTATGTTTTAGCATACCTTACTATATTGCTGCTTATACAGTCATTTGGTTAGTTTAGGTGTTGGGTCACTGGCTTTTTGATCTGTGTGGCTTCCCCAAAAACAAGGCGGGAAGTCAAAGCTCGGATATATGGTTTATTGGTTAAATGCATGTGCATTCAGATTTGTATGCCTGATCAGGATTGTGGCTGGTTTAATAATTATGTGGCCGAACCATTTGCTGGTCTTATTTGGTCAATAAATTAATATATACTTTCCTATGTTTTCTGTTATTTTTATTTAATTTTCCAATCCTTGGATATAGGGCCTAAAAAAATGTTTGCTGGTCTTTTTGGCCCAAGTTATTATGAACTTCTTCTCTACTTCTCATTTTCTTTTCCAAACCCTGTACATAGGGCGGAGGAAATTGCAAAATTCATTGAATTTCAGGACAAGGAGGTGGAAGAATTTGTTGCAGAGAGGGAGAAACTGATAGAAGATCATGAAGAAAAGAAGATTTCAATGAAGAAAAGGCACTGGGAAGAAGAGGTTGAAATTGAAAGGGAGTTCAATACTGAAATAAACAGATTGATGGAGAAGTACACCCCGAAACGCTTGGAGGAAGCAACGACAGCACCTACTGATGGTAAAGACGTTTTAGAGACAGCAGATAGAGGTTAGTATTATAACCAAGAGAAACACACTGTGGTTACTTGTATGAAATAGTGCTTGTTTTTATTAGTCAATTTACCTAAAACAAGAATGTGACTCTTCAATTTACCTAAGAATGGCACACAATGTGATTCTGAATAATTTTTTACTAGTCACCAGCATGTTTAATTTCCCAAAAAGTAAAAAAGAAAAGAAAAAAAAAAAAAAGAAAAAGAAAAAAGAAGGTTAAAAGAACTACCACTTAGGACAGTATCTGAAATTCAAATTTTCACAGCTTCCATATCCTGAAAATTAATGACTGACAATGTACACTTGAAATTTCTTCTTGTAAAATTTGACATGCATTTCAGGAAAAAAAAAAAATTTAAAAAATACACAAAAGACCCTACAGAACTATACCTCCGAGAACTCGTTTCTCTGTTCCCTTTTAATTTTTCTGCCTCGTTTTTTTATTACTGTTTTTGAAAAACAGCACTGTGAAAAATCTTTACCAACCACACTGTAAAATATAAATTCCGAAAGGATGTTATGTTGCTCTAACTTTTAAGTGACAATGAGAAGTGTGGTCCTCTATAAAAAATATATCAGTTACCGGATCAGTTACCAGCACAAAAGACCCTACAGAACTATACCTCCGAGAACTCGTTTCTCTGTTCCCTTTTAATTTTTCTGCCTCGTTTTTTTATTACTGTTTTTGAAAAACAGCACTGTGAAAAATCTTTACCAACCACACTGTAAAATATAAATTCCGAAAGGATGTTATGTTGCTCTAACTTTTAAGTGACAATGAGAAGTGTGGTCCTCTATAAAAAATATATCAGTTACCGGATCAGTTACCAGCAAGAGGTTTTTTTTTGTTGTAATTTATATTTTTCCTTCTTTTCACCTCATATGGATGAATGCATGCATAGTAACTATCTTGTAATAAAAGCATTTAAATTTTTTTTTTTTTTTTTTTCATTCTAACGACATCGCCAAACAGGCCAGGCTTAGCTTAATAGTAAATGTTCTCCATCTTAAGTCATATTTACTTGGATAATTTACACAAACCTTTCTTAAGGTTTGCCATAATTATATGAGGGCACTTTCCTGTTCCGGAAATTACGCACACTTTCCCTACTTTTTAAAATATCTTACATGGACCTCCCTTATCTGTGACAGACCGTTAAATACACTAATAGAACTGTTGAAATTACTGAAATACCCTCTCCTTGGCATCTGAAATTACGAAATTACCCCTCTCAGTTATTGGGTAGGCATGACATCAGCTTGTCATCTTCTCCAAAAGCAAAATGTCAATAAAAATTTTCATGTGTGTGTACAGAACAGAGAACACTTTGAACTGATCATAATAGATCAAACAAACCGATACCAATATCATGATTCAAAACCCTAATCACCTCAAATAATAGTTTACTTGAACCAAAAAAACATAAAAATTGGTTGAAAATGAATACTGAATACCAATCTGAAGAGACTACCACTGAAAATAGAAAAGCTCACCGGCGTTGGAAATACTTGTCAGCGTCAAACAATAGCCACCGGCGAAAGAGAGAGAAGATGATAAATCGTCGAGTTCATGCGGACAAAATACTAAGATCGAATGTTCTTTATTGCTCAGGTTAGGAAAGTTGAAAATACCGCTTTTATATTCAACCAAATACCAAAAAATATAAAAATATATATTTTATGGTAAAACAAGCATATAGATCAAATTCATGCGATAAAAATTTCATAGACCTAAAAATAAAGGGAGCTAGTGAGCTTTTCATTTTAATCAATAAAATTAAAAAATTAACATATTTTTTTTCTAGTATATTCTCTACACCACAATCCATAGACGAACTTTCCGATCCTTCAATTTTATGGAAACTCTGAATTCACAATTTTTTTTTTTTTCACTTTCGGATTCCAAGTTTGTTAAAAGATCTGCAATCTAGATTTTTTTTTTCTCTGTGTTCTGGAAATTTGTGATCGTTTTGAATTGGAATTGGTGGTGGTCGAAGATGGAGATCGCACTTGGGAGAAGGAATTGACTCATTGAACCTTCGAGACTTCCTTCGAGTGAGAGACGAAGAGCCGGACTGACTCTAAGCGCAACCCTGGAGAGCGAGAAGAGTTAATACCCCCATAAAGACATATATTCCGGCCACGAAGATCATCGGAATAGCGGTGGGCAACGAGCTCTTCACCGGCGGGGACATAACGAAAGTTTCCAATCTTGTACCAGCCATGGTCAGCATTCATGGCGCCTTAGTTCAACTAGGACTAGATCAGCAAATTCATGTTTCTAGTCCAAATTCTCTTACAGTGCTGGAGGAATCGTACCCGCCTTCGGTCGAAACTTTCAGGTCCGAGCTCGTCGGAAATCAGATTGTCTCATAGCCTCGCTGTCACAGATCCTCGCCGTCGCCATCTCACAGCCTCACCGTCTCAAACCCACCACCACAACCCGTTGCCGTCACAGATACCCACCACCACAACCCGTCGCCGCCATCACAAATCCTCATTGTCGCCATCTCACAGCCTCGCCGTCGCCATCTCACAGCCTCACCGTCTTAAACCCACCACCACAACCCGTCGCCATCACAGATACCCACCACCACAACCCGTCGCCGTCACAGATCCTTGCCGCCATCACCAACTAAACCAAATGAAGGCTTGATATATATATATCTTTTAAATATAATGTTTATTTAATTATACAGACAAGGGCATTTTAGGAATTCTAATAAAAATAGTGGCTAACGTCATCCACATTTTCGTCTCGTAACAAAAAGGAGGTCCGTATAGAATATTTTCAAAAGGAGGGGAGGTCCGCGTAATTTTTGAAAAAAAGAAGAGTGCTGCCAGTAATTATAACAAACCATAGGAGAGGTCTGTGTAAATTACCCTATTTACTTTTACCAGACAAATTTTAATTACATTACATGCAAAATAGCTCATAATCAAATTTGATTTTAGTTCCTTCGAGATGAGCTAAAAATAAATGAAAAATGCTCTTTTAAGAAAAATTAAGCGTGGTTGATGTTGATGCTAGAAGACAGACACTACATTATCGTCTTAGGGTGATCATCTAGAACTCAATTTGCACATGTCCTTAACCCAATCCTTTGTGTGAATTACCTTTTTACAACCAACTTGCATGCAATAGATAATTCAAACAAGCAAAAATGACTCGTAATTCTTTTCATACATATATATATATAGAACTCTCAAGAAAATAATCCGAAACTCCAGTAAAATATATATATATATATATACATACATATATATATATATAGAGAGAGAGAGAGAGAGAGAGAGAGAGAGAGTTGCCTGTGCTACAAAAACTATCAATCCAACATAATTGACAAAACAATTATTCCATTAATGTCTTTTGCTTCACTCCATTATTGAACTGCCTGCCAAGATGAGTAACTTTACAAGCTCAAAACTTCAAAGTGTTTTCACATAACTACTCTCACCCAATAAACAAAGCAAAAACAAAGGACAAATATATGAAAAGGAAAAAAGAGAGAAAAAAGGGAGGGAGTAAGAATTACAATCTTAAAGCTGCACTCAGCGGCCACCTAATTTACATGAAGCCCTTCTTCAGCCCGTTAACACTTGCAAGAGCTTTCTAGGAGACACCAATGCCCTCTAATAAATTCTGAGACTTATCACACCCACCTCACACATTAATCTAAAACTGAAAATGAAGAAGTGAATAACTAAAGGTTGTGTGTCAAATACATAACGAGCCGCCTGAGATAGCCTGCATTTGATACAACTGACTCGACTAGCTAGTCTGAGCTGTTGACGCCACTGCTGTTTACAGCATGATCCAGTTCAACTCTGGTGCTCACGGAGCCATCCGGGGCAGAACCAGCTCTGACAGTTACAGAGGCTTCTTTACCACACTCCTCCAACTGGACGACCTGTGCAAAACTCTTGGACATCTTCTTGATGAAATCGTTAGATAATGTAACAACATTTCCATGTTCATTTCCCCCAACACCCACCAGGCTTGCCTGCTGCCTGGCCTTCCTTTCTTGTATGGCCTTTTGCCGGTCATCGTAAAAAGCAAAGTCATCAAGGATGGACGTATCAGTTTCATAGTTCTTGAAAATCTTCAACATTTCAATACCTTGTTCCAATTTCACCTGCAATGTTCATTTAGACATAAAAGCAAGTAAAGACAAATAATAAAGAAAAACACAATCAATACCTACATAATATTTTCCTTTAAACAAATCATGCTGCAGAGATCTCAATATAAAAATAAAAAGAAATAGAGGACAATGGAACTTCAATAAAATACAACCGAAATGTAGGAAATTGATATCCAGCAGGATAAGTCATCAAAACTGACAGCACCTGCTTACATGATTATCTAAAAACAAATAAATATAACCTCCTCTTCTTCTTCTTCTTCTTCTTCTTCTTTTTAAATATATATATATATATATATATATATATGGGTAAAGTGCATTAAACCCCCCTCAACTATACCCAAATAAGCACAAAACCCCCCTGAATTTCTAAATAAGCAGAAAACCCCTCAAACTATGTCTTTTGGTTGCAGTTTACCCAATCCGGTCATCGCACGTTGAATTTTAACCTCTTGCATGTCACGTGATACATTATTTCTCATTAAATGACCAGAAAACCCTTGTGAGAATAAAAGACTATAATTTTGATATATATATATAAACCATGTATCATCTCCACCACGACTGCTCTTATGCAATTCCGACAAGTACAATGGGAAGAGAAGATCCAAGCGACGAGGATGATGACACGATTCCGACGAAGGCACTGATGCTATGTGAGGCTTGTGGTTTGTTGTGTCAGTGGTGAGAGGGGTTGGGACTTTTGCGATTAGGAATTAATTGTGGTCGGTGGCTGGACACGATTGGTTGTTTTTGTGCTAAATTTTTTGAAACATATCTGAGTAAGAGTTGTCTCTAAGGGTAGATTTTGTAGATTCTCCGAGCTACGGCTTGAGCGAAGTAGTTTGCAAGCTTTCTCATCGCAGCGGCTTGCGACATTGCTAACAAGCTTTACCAACGCGTCGGCGAGCTTAAGATTTGTCTTTTTGGACCGCCTAGGCGCAGACCATCAAACTGTGGACGAGTCGGACACCGGTCTCCTGCAAATCCACAAGCACCACCGGCCACGGTGGCTCCGTTGTGGCAGCTCCAATTTTGGGAATTGGTGGTACAGGCGATAGAGCACACTCAGATCCACCAATGATTTCAACAGTTTGAATCACTCTTTCTCCAATTCCAGCGATTCCTTATTATTAAATATGGCACCTCCGGTGATGGCTCTTAGGTCGTACTCGGCACGTCCAGATCTGGTTCTCCAACAAATAAACCTTTCCCGTTGTTGCCACTGGACTGAAATTAAATTTAATTTCATTTAAGTTGCTGAGTAAAACGGTGGCGTTTTATTGTGATGTGGCACCCTTTTATGAGGGGTAAAATAGACTTTTTCAATTTCCGGTGATAGGAGATGACCAGAAAAATTTCTGTGTCCTATGACTACACCAAGACCATAGTTGAGGGGGGTTATTTGTAGTTGAGGGGGGTTAGTTGCACTTGAGGTATAATTGAGGGGGGTTTATTGCACTTTACCCTATATATATATTTTACTTGGAATGATAAAAATTGAAACCCTAACCCGCTCTCTATTTTAGATGCCATGCCAGCATTTATGATTCAACCACTCAGCTACAACTGCACTTAACCACCGACAGCAGCAGTTACTCCATCCTCAGATTAAGGAAACAAATTTAGGATCAAGCAAATTATAAAGAGACTAAGGAGGACTCTGGTTGCATGAACCACCACAGAATTAAATAAATTGGGGGGAACAGGTTGACTAAAAACAGCCTTTTACTCTTTTACTGGTTTTTAAGGCTTGAGGTCGTAAATGGAAAAAAAACAACTAACAAGAACTTCTCAGTTACAAACTGGATAGTTCTGAAACTTTAGTCAGCTGCTGCAGTTAATTCAAAAGTTACAGAAGCTAACAGGCTTACCTAAGATTGAATTAGCACAGAACAGTGAATTAATCCCAGGTAGATAACCCCAGAAAATTTTAATCACTTCAGAAATCTCACATAAATTCCTACCTCCAGAATGTCTCGACTGTTGGTTATGGGCTTTAACAATTAATCAATCCTAGGTAGATAACTCCAGAAAAAAATTTAATCACTTCAGAAATGTCAAATAAATTCCTACCTCCTGAGTGTCTCGGCTGTTGGTTACGGGCTTGTTATCATTATTTTCAAGCACAATGTGACGAAAATGACTGTTGGGAACATCTTTGACAATATGCCACTTGACCGGAAACTGTCCACTCCATTTATCTTGCTGCCAGTAGTCCACACTTTTGTCAAAATCTACAGGTCCAACCATTTCAGCCACTCCACAGAATTGAGCACTAGCATTCACCTGTGAATTATTGTAAAAAACAAAATGCAATACATAATTAAAAACAGAAAAAAGAAATGGCAATAAAGAAGTTGGGTATTTAATTATTTATGAAAGCAACTACAATTTGTCGATGACAACAAAAGCAGTAGGAATGAATTTCAAGGGTTGGAGAATAACCATGCTTAAGGTATCTCAAGGTCGTTTTGGATTAGTAATAAATGCATGTAAAGCAGAAAAACAGATTACTCTTCTGATGGGTAAACATACGTAAACCTGAGGTTCACATATTTGTTTAAGGCCTGCATATCTTCACTATGATCTTTAAAAGTTCTGCAGAGAGGATTTAAAAAACTATCTATTGATGAAAACTGATAGACATTATCTAGTCAGTGAAGACAGGACTTGGTCAACAAATCTAAAATAGACCATTATATTCTCACATTATCCTGAGGCACCAAAGCATCTAGTTCAAAAACAAAAATGGTAAAATCTGTAAAGCTTAGTCCATTGCAAGGGAAATCATTTTGAAAGAAAATAAATGTTTTAAAGTGGTTTAAACCGACGTTTATATCGGTCAAACAATAACTTCTCGCCGACTAACAGTTACCTAAGTCAACCCACCTTTTTCTTCGCCTTGGGAATTGCCATGTGAATGATAAAACTCTAAGCACCAACTGCAGGAGTTAAACGTCATAAAGTAATAATTATACATTTGGCTTCCTCCGTAATGGATCAAAACTGGTACAAACATCCTCAACCTGATTTTATTTCACATAAAATTTAGATTCTTCTAGGGATAAAAAACTCAATCAGAGCAGACGGTGTCCCAGTTGGAAACTATGCAACACCCAATCTGATGACATTACTACAAGCTCCAGCTAATTTAGGAGTTCCCCAGTTCTAATGTAATTAAATGAATGAAAGGCCATTACCTCATGCAGGTCCTGTCTACGCGGGGTCCTGGAAGGGGAAGACCAGAGACAGACCTTAGCTTTGGTATAATTTTGCACAAAGTGGCTGCCCCCAGACTCGAACCTACATCCTCAAGATACTTACTATTGCACCAAAAAATGACCCCTTTCCAAATTAATTATTCTAAAAAAAAAAAACCGACAATGCATTCCAGCAGGTCTAGTAAACTATAAAAGTTTTGCATCAGCAACAATTATATAGGAAAATCACTTGGACTTAATTCTTGCCTTATCAGACTTAAGGATTAACAAATTACCGAAAACAAGAGAAAAATGGGGCAGGTGCTTTGCTTCTCCTTCGCTTCACCATAAGCAGCATCTAATTTTCTGTTTCCATTTGGAGTACTGGCCCAGACACCATATTTGATACTCTTGTGAACATTATCTTCACTATAAGATTTGATGATGAAGAACTTGGCATCCTCGTATTCTGTGACAAAATCGGGGTGGTTGTAGGACCCATCATGTGTCTTGGCAGTCGACAAGCTCTGCTTGTTACCATCACTGGCAAGACTATTTTCATTTGCAATCAGGCTCTTTGGTTTCGAGGCCCTTGGCCCACGGTTTTGCTCACTGAGAATATCAATTGTGCCGCTACAATTGCATAGAGAACCATTGCTCTTTCCACGTCTACCATTATCAAGAGAAAGCCAGCCCCTAGTGTTTGTTCCCAAACTGGAAATGGATTCACTTCCAAAGCTAGAACCCTGATTAAAACCACCGTGCAGGTGCCCTCTGCTATAAGAGTTTGAACCAGATCCAAACCCGTAGAATGATCTTGGTTGCGGAGAAGCCTGCAGAAGATAAAATACCATGCAACACAAATAAAGCCATGACTCTACTCGGTTGTCATTTAGATTCAAAAGACAGCATTCATATGGAAAAACTTAAATTAAAAAATAAAATAAAATTCAAAAGATGAAGCAAGTGATGGTCCATTGTTGTAACTGCCACTGACAGGATAACAGCAGGTACAGATACATCTATGGCAAGTCAACTTTTTGTAATGGTCAAAGAAACACCACCAACGCAAACCAATGCATTAACTTGGACTATCATGTTTATGATAACACATAGCTGTAAAAAACTAAATGATTCCTTCCTAGAAGTACCTTTGCCATCCTTGTTCAAATCTTAATCAAATACCATCATTCAAGTCAGGAAAAGATGTCACTATTTCAAATGATTCAACAATCATATTTAATAATTAAAATTAAATGACAATATAGTTGCATGGCTTACTTATGACTTATGAGCGATGCATGTATGAAACATGTTAATAGAGTTACATGGCACAGTAGTTTTTGCTCATTGACAACCTTCCAGCATGGGTCATCACTCATCAGTTACAAAAGACAATCCAAAAAGGTGGCTTTCATGCATATTGAAGAACTATGCATGCAGATTTAGGAAAGAGTATTGAATACTGGGAAAGAAATGAAAAACAAACAGAAAGTTGCACGGTGAAAGCAGAAACGCATTGTGTAATCAGTCACTGCAATGATTATGTGTGAATATAATAAAATGACAAAAAATGGCATGTAGGACAAATCATCACATTGTCGTTAACCTTAAAAAGGAAAAGGAAAAAGAAAAAGAAGGTCTTGTTGTATTTGCTCAAAAATTTGGAACTTGAGATATGAAATAAAAATAGTTCAATTATAACTCTCAGTTTGTAAAATGAAAGATGGTGTAGGAACCACAATGATTATATGGAAAAAAGAAATTAGGAAGAGTAAAGAAAAAGTGAGGAGCATTTAGAGAAGTTACGAAGCACAATGACAACTAAGATATTTTGTCTGCGTTATTTAAGGATCATTGGGAATTCATTCTTTTTGGGCTTCAGATAAGTTTTTGAGAAGTTCCCCACTGATTTTCAAGACAGGCTTCTCAAGAACTCATGATACCTCCCGGAAAAACAGTGGTTATAACCATCTCAGTATTGGCTTCAATACTTCTCTAAGAACATAATTATGTAACTGTTTAAGACATTTAATTATACGTTTTCAAATAAAAGGCGCAATATATCCCAAATTTTGCACAAAACACGACTGGAACCAAATTAGTTGACCCCACGAATCCAACTAAAAGAATCATCTTATTTATGTGTTAATGGCATGTTGGCATCTGATGATGAAAAAGGCAGAATACGTGTTAACTATAAACAGAAAGGATAATTCATATTCTATCATTCAGTATCTTCTGGTAATTCAATTTTCTTTACTTTCTAGAGTTATCATATAATCACTATCATCCTGAGTCTGCAGTGGTTAACGGTATTATGATAATTCATGACATTCATATCACCAATGCATTCATTCAAGTGTTCAGCAATTACGACAATAAGCGATAGGTTGACCGAGTTTTCAAGAACTTTGCTGAATAGCATGAATTTAATGCTGCCTACTGCAGGTAAATTCTTTACAAGCTCTATATGATTACAAGCCAGGAAGCACGGACACGCCTAAAAGGTCAAGGAATCCATGTTGGACACGGACACTTGACAAACACGGTCTGACACGTGTCAGACATGCCAAAAGACATGTCTGGATTCTTTTTTATTTCTGGAAACACTGCAGACATAGTAGGACACACCATGAAAACGTGTCCAAAATGTGTATCGCATTGTTAGGGAGTTTTAAGAAAATTTTAAAACGAAATAAGGGTTAAAGCGCAAATATGATGACTTCTTTGAACATTGGAAATAATATGGTGGTCATAAGCCAAATTTTTAAAGGTTTTTATTCAAAAAACAAGTATTATTGTTTTCATGGACCCAATTGTGTAGTTCTTAAACTATAAACTAATTATTTTATAGCTCATTAGTTATAATGATTTGTGGATTTTTCATTGTTAGGTAACTTAGGTAGATGAAAAATAATATTACTCCCAAAATAGAGGATCATTTATAAAAAGACATATTTATTAGTCCCATGTCCCCACGGTGTCAATGTCTTAATTTTGTATGATTTGCCGTATCGTTGTGTCCATGTCATGTCATGTCTGTGCCCCTTGTTAGTAGTATATGTGTTTCTTGGATTACAAGCATAGAAGTTAAAACACTTTGGACTAGCTCACTAAGCAGAGGTTATTAAAAGTACTGCAATGAGAATAGAGCCCTTTAACCCACATGTTGCTCAGGATAAAACACTCTGCACCAAGACTCAGGTAATTCTCGCATTTTTTTCCAACTTTAACAGCAAGCCCAAATTGAGATATCTTAAAATTCCGAAAGCAATATTTGCTTGTCAACAAATTTTAAAAAGAATAAGAAAAATAAACAAAAAGCACACATTGAGATCTTTAAAGCATGCATAAGTTGCCATACTAGTCATAAAAATGCATAGGTAAGACTACAAACCATTCCAACATTTTGCCCAAACGACCCGAGAGTGCCAATCATTTGTGGAGAGACTGCAGGTGGTAATGGAGTAAGAGACCTCTGTCTGTCTGAAGGTTTTGGCCAATCAGACCAAAGTCCACCAGATCTGAAGGCGTCAAACCCTTGATGCATATCATGAAAACCAAGGTTTCCAGGATTTCCAGAAAAATTTCCACCAAAAGACCCCAGCGAAGAGGAATAACCAGGTCTCTGCCCGAGAAGCATCCCGTCAACTTGTTGGTCAACATTCATTAACGAGTTCAGCTGTGGTTGTGAAACTGGAGTTGGTGAACTAATATATTGCATGTTAGGAGGAACTAGCTGTTGATAATATGGTGGTCCTGAGTATGTGTACTGCTGAGGGGAATATAATTGAGCATCACCCCTGACAGAAGGCAAAGGTGTTGTGACGGGGGAATATGGTCCATATGGCACTTGTGGACTGTAGCCATAACCAGTATGAAACACGAGAGAGGGGTTATCGCTGTAGATGCCCTAAACAAGATCAAACGTGAAAAGCAAAATACAATGAGTTATATTACAACTCAACTCAACAATAAAGCCTTTTCCCAACTACTTGGGACGGCTATATGAATCCTATTTTTCCATTTCCACTCTATCTAAGGCCATCACCTCACTCAAACCACATGTTATCATATCTTTCCTTGCTAACTCTACCTCTATCCATGTTAATTTTGGTCTTTCCCCTAAAATTTGAAAAAATTATATATCAATTATAACATAATTTTCCTCAGAATTTTAATCTTGGTATATGTATTGAGGAAAATATAATTAAAAAAAAAATGCCTTCGAAATAAATAGAGATGGAAAATTGATATGACAAAGAAAACACATAGAGAAGAGAAAATGATAAGTTACATCTTACATGGAATAAGAGAAGTGGTAAAGAAAAACCATTATTAAAAAAATTAATTTTCCTCCAACAATAGTTTCAAATTTCAAAAAAAATTAATTTTTGATTTTTTATGAGTTTTTTTATTTCACTTTGAGAAAGATATATATAATTATTACCTTATTGAGAAATTAGTAATAAAAGTATCATTTAACTGAACAAAATCCGGCACGTATTAATTAAACACAATTTTTAGATGCAAAATAGAGAAATACTTTAACATATAATTTATACAAGGAGTAACTATAGAACTTTTCATTTTACAAGTGACAACAAAAAATATTAGCTTATATGATATTTTAGTTATTATGGTCATTTCTGCCATCTTGGTATCATAACACTTTAGTTTTCCCTTCTTTTAGTTTTCCCTCCTTCCCTGCTCAAAAGACTCACAAATGGAGATTAACATATAATTTAAGATATTTTTCCCTATAAACACCATCTAACAAAAACATAGAAAGAAGATACATGTATCTTTATTAAAAAGACACATAGGTATAAGTTCTCTTTTTTCTCTCTTGAATTCAAATAGTTCCATACAATGTGTGTATATTATTCTAAATGTAGTAACGATATGTTAGCCTACCATAATAATGAACTTACATTTTTGTTTCACAATATTGGACTTCAAAAGTAAAGGCTAAAAGGGTTTAAGTTAAAATATAATTTCGGAAAATATAAGTTATATTTATTTCCACGCTCACTATTTTATTTATTTATTTATTTGCCAATAAATAAGTGTTTTGGAAAATTTTGGTGGGGGGGCAAATTGAACTCTTTTTTATGAATTTTGGGACCAAACGTTGGACTTATTTACAAAACAATTTTTTTTTTTAGGAGGGGGGGTGGACTCAGCTTAGCACATGAGATGAAAATAAGTAATGGATGAAAGAGTAAGAGTTATAACTTACAGGAGATCCAATATCGAATCCTTCAGCATTAACATATGGAGGGTACTCGTCCCACTCACCAGGGGCATTTTCGTAACCTGAATGATTCCCTTTGGTTAATTTCTGTAAATTAAAGTAGGCATGATAAAGTGATAAACATATGAACGGTAAATATGAAGTGAAAAGACCCTTTACACCACAACTGCCCAAATATTGTGACTAAATGCAAGTCAGATCAAACCATCAAAGTTTAATTTGTCACTGGGCAACGTTTTACATATGGATTGCAGAAAACCCCTGAAACTGATCTACGGATAGAGTGCATGGCCCATTTAATTATATCCTTTCAACAACTTACAAAATACTATCTTTAGTTGCTTAAGATATTATTATAGAGAGCTGAAAGAATGAGAGACGGACCAGTATAAGCATCATAGAGCCTAAAAATGGGTTAAGCGAGTGCCAAATTTTGTTCCTTTTTGGTCGACGATGGTGGAGTTGGGCCTCTTAAAGCACCCCATAATCCACCACCGGGCACATGCAGTCCGCCAAATTTTTATTGATTGCTTCAACCAGTTGAACTCTATGTACACACACACACACACATAATATTTAGAATAAAAAAATAACTTGCAAAGATATAGCTCTGTGTTCTTAAACTTCTTGAAGAATGCATGTGTTTGATTCCATTTCATATACAGACTTCAAATTTGAAGGCTGTGTACCCGAGTGCAATACTTGATTTTAAACACTTTCTTTGAGAGTTCTGATAAAATAAAATAAGATTGAAAAGGGAGGATGGTCGCTGTCCCTTGAGCAAGAGAAAGAAAAAGAAGAGAAGATGATAATCCATCCCCTTGTTTGCAGTTTTAGGAGAGAAAAGAAAGTAATAGTTCCTCAACTTCTTTGGGAGTTAATAAGAAATATAAGAAAAGAGAGGAAAATTATGTTCTATTCCTGTTGGTATGAAGGGGAGAAAGGAATTTGCTTCTAATAAGAACAATCGATAAGATGGGCAATCACTTGACTCTTCTTCCTTTCCATCCATTTCATCCCATTCCTTGAGAGGGGAAATAAGGAATAGAGGTGCTCATTTCCTCCCATTTCACTTCTTTCTATCCATAAGGAACGCCAAAAAAATGGATTACTTGCCTCTCAACTTATATTTACTGTTCCCTCCATTTATTTTCCATTTCATTTCCCCCAAACATGTCTGAACATCAAAAATTATTTAATGATGTTCCAGAATTAATGCACTACATTCAACAACTATGGGAGATGAAAGCAACCTTTTCTCTAACTTCAACTGAATGGGCCAATAATGCCTATTCTAGAAAACTACAAAGTTGGCACAGTATAGAAACACATCCAAAAGTGAATTTTGCATCATAATTCATGCTAGTAGAATATGAAGCCATGGCTAGCCCAACCCCCAAAGGGAAGCATGCCATATATAAAATCCCAAGAGAACATTAAGTGTAGATGAATCGAGCCCTCAAAAAAATGGAAGCATCATGTCACAGGTCCAATCTGAAGAACATGACATGCAGATGCACATCCTTGGATCACAAGTGAGTTCTAGTACTGAAAATTTCCAAGGTTCTTTAGGTTGAAGGAATTGGAAGAATATTTAGATTCAATTTTAATTTTGATATGCATTGATATTTTTTCTATCAAAAAGCTCACTAATTTAACACCTTGCAACAAATTTATGGAGATTCGATGTCAATCCATACCAAAACTGGAGCTAAAATAAGACTTAATATCAGCAATATAGGGAATCTATTGGTTTCATTTGAGTGCTGAAACTCCAATATATTTTCTTTACAAGATAAACATCCTTTTTCTAGAATAATATTTTCACTCAGAAGTTAGAACGTTAAGGTGATGTTGCAGAACACCCAGTACACACATGGTTGGTTTTGCCCTCACAAGTGAACATGTTTACTTGGTTAATATTGTGTTACAAGCATCAATTTTTTCTGAATAATGTCATCCTGATATGCAAGAAAAAAAGGCAGTATAGATACAGTCGGGCATATTTGCAGATTGGCTAGACCTTTGATTGGTCCAAAAATCAAAGCAATCCAGATAGCACTATGGGATTGAAAACTAACCTTTAAAGTAGATGCCCTGGGCCTGAGGAGCATATATATTAGGTGCATAGACAGCGCGATCACCACCTGAACCCAAAGATCCCACTTGACCAGCATTGTCCCTTGAATGACCTATGGCAGCATCCTGAGAAAAATTAGGAGAAACCAACCTCTCATTTTTTTGGCTCAAAGATGCTGATAGAAGATAACAAGATGACAGGTTTTTATAAGATACATTTTTGAACAAGTAGTATAATGAATTGCATCATTGTGAATTTACAGCTACCTGTTCCTTCATTTTATCTGGTTCGACAGGTTTCTCTTCTGCACCCATGATTAGTATGCTCAGTGAGTCTTAGTAACACAGGCATTACAAATTATTGACCAACCATAAGCTAAATTTAGGGATATGTAAACTTGAAGCTATGACTATGTGCGATAATATCCACAGGTGCACACCTATGCATACACGATAATAAGAAAAACATGAATGTATGAATCCACAGTTGCAAATGTTACATGGAAGAACAAAAATATATGTGAAAGCTTACTTATCAAAATATATATATATATATATATGTGAAAGCAAATAATAGTCACCCATAAATAGAGATTCATAGTTTTAATTTGTTGGATGAAGTACAAGGATGTATGATAAAAAAAAGAACCCAATATACAAACTTATACAAAATAATGAGCGTGGTAGAAACCAAAATCTACATCAATAATGATGATGATAATAATAATTGCAATAATAATATTGTAACTTAAGGACACGCAAGCAAAAATATACACCAGTAATGATGATAAGAATAATATTGTAACTTAAGGGCGCTGTGTTCGGAGCATCGCCTTAAACTCTTCTTTTTTTCATTTTTGTTTTTTTTTTTTAATTATTTTTTATTTTTTTATTTATTTCTACAAGTCTTTTTTTTTTTTTTGTTTTTTTTTCTTTTTTCTTTTTCCGCGTGTGTGTGGATAAGTGTCACCTTAAACTCCTATGGAATGGCTGCAAAAATAAGACAGCAAAACTTCTACTAAAATTGTCCATAAATATTGAAGAAATTCACACTCCAACACCAGAAGCACCAACATATTCCGAGGGGAACAAAATTTTCATATTATTTATACGCAAATGAGAAAGCATAGGACCACTACTAAACATTGATCAAGGCTTTTATGTCCAATAGGACAATGCTATTTTATTCATATCTTGAAGCTATCCTATACAAAGACAACATGTCAGCATGCATACTGTCACTTGAACCCAGCCAGAGTCTTGAGGTTAGATTTTAAGCCACAGAAAACTAGAATAGACAAAACCACCTTCTAGTCACCTTACCCCAACAGTTCCCAATTGTGCAATATCTCCTTACACGTATAATTTTTTTTTTAAATATCTCCTTACACGTATAATTTTTTTTTTTTTTTATAAAAAAAATAGCAACTTCTCCCTATAATTTAGTAGTTTCGTGGATGATCTAAATACAGAAGGCAGCAGTTTCGATCAATATGAATTGATCATATATACAGTGATAATGTTGTGTAAATTAAGAAAACAGCATCAAGAAAACACGAAGTAAGGTCGTCTTCAATTACTTCATTGACTTGACACGATTTATTTTTTATGGAGAAAATGAATTAGGATTTTAACAGAAACCATGAATTAATCTAAGAAAAACCTAATAGAACCATGAATTGATCCAAACAGAACCTAATTAAACCCCAACTCATTAAAATCATAATTTTAATATTTTATAGATAGATATAGATATAGATAGAGAGTGAGAGTGGAATACACATACCAATCGGGGTAGAGATGATAAGATCGGTCGCTTGTGGCTGCGCAGCATCCATGATTAATCTATCGATCTCGACTATGTGTATGTGTGTGTATATAGAGAGAAGGGGAGAGCGAGCGAGACAGAGAGGAGGGCGGAGAGAATCTGTGTCCTAGATCTAAGAGTAGGAGGAGAGAGAGGATCTCAAACTCAATTCCCAACAGTATCTATCTCCTTTTGTACCCATCAGTAGCTTTCTTCTTCTTCAACTTTAGTAGTACTACTTTTTTCTATATATATATATATACCCATTATTAAAATTAACGCTTTGTTTGAACCAATTATTTTGAAATTTGGAAAGGAATAGGAATTGGAATTAAAATGAAATTTCATTTATATATTTGGAATAATTTAAAGTTGAATTTGAAATAAAAATAATATTATACTATTTTTGTCCTTATTTAAATAATAAATAAAATATTTATTTTATTATTAAATATATTTCAAAGTTTCATCAAATAGATAAACAAATTGAATGATTACACGATAGAACTGAAACATAAAATTTATTTAACAAATTAATTAAAAAATAAATAACTATTTATTAATTAAAAAAACTAACTTATTCAACTATCATCACCAACATACTTAAATCAATATATTAAAAAAAAGAATACTAAAATGTAAACTTAAGCCTAAACATTGATTTAATTAATATCTTAAATAAGTTCATTTATTAAATACTAAGCATGCTTATTAAAGTATATTAATTACTTTGTAACAAAAATAATATGTAGATTAACAAAAATTTATATAAATATATATTTATAACGAACTATTATATAAATTACTCAGCATATCAATTACTAGTAATTAAAAAAGTATGCCACTTAGAAATTGATACACAACAATTTATACAATAAAAATTAACAAGTATATTAATTGATAACTAAACTTTTGCTTATAGATTAAATTTTTAATATATTATTCATTTTTTATATAAAAGACTTATGAACTTGGCTTATAAAAGTGTAATCTTTATTCATTCAATCTGCACTGTGTAAATAAATATAAAGTTTGTGGCATGGTGTGAATTGTGAATAATTGAATTGCATGACTTTTGATTATAAAATAAAGTAGATTAATCTGTTGAATGTAATTTGAGATATTAGAGAATACCAAACAAAAAATGATAATATTTGATTACTAACTTGTACTTATATTCTCAATATTAAGAGATAATATATATATATATATATATATATATATATATATATATTACAACGATATTTAATAGGTTAGAGTTAATAGGGAGATTGTGATAGGTTGAGTAGTATTTAACAAGGTTAATTATGAAAATATCATCATTAAACAATATTTATCTTTCAAATCTCATCAAATCTTGTCTTTTTATATGGGATTTTAAATGCGTTAAAGACGATATTTGAAATTTCATCATTTTTAAATCCGATGTGTCCAAACAACGTAAATCCTATTTCTAAATTCAAATTCCATCAAATTAAGGGACTCAGGCTGATTCTTTTCAGTTACTCCTATTTTGTTTTTCACTCTGGCGTGACTGAAAAATGAATGAAATGGCAAAGTAACAGCATTAATCTAATTAATAATTATAGATTTATAACATACAGTTTTATATTATATAGTATTGTTTAATTTCCCTAAGGAGCAACTCACTATTAATTGCACCATTTGAATTGCGTGTTATTCCGACAATATATATATATATATATGTGTTTGCGTGTTAAAATTTTAATTTTAGGAACAGTATTAAAATTGGGTGTTTAGGGCATATTTGACAACTGTTTTTACTTTATATTTTGTTTTGATATGAAATAAAAGCAACTTTATATTCTAGAGTGTATGTTGTATAATTCAGAAATATGTTTGGTAACAAAAATTTTGAAAAAAAAAATATGAAAACATATTTAGTAAAAAAATATTAAAAATAAAATAATTAGTTAAAAGGTCATTTAAAAGTGTTGCAAGTTTTCATTGTTATATTGAAGAAGCAATCTGAAACACCAATTTAGAACTTTCGGTTTTGGTCTTTTTTCAAAAAAAAAATTTAATAATATTTAAATCACAACAAACGTTATTAAATACGCTATCGTATCTTGCTTCGTTTAAAAAAAAAAACAAAAAACAAAGAAAACAACACTCAAAACATAAGCAATTGCAAACAAGACCTTAGAAAACTTTACTCTTTTCTTTTCTTTTCTTTTCTTTTTTTTTTTCTTTTTCTTTTTCTTTTTTGCGTTAATTAGTAGGTACTTACATATTTGATGAGAGGGAGAAAGGGTCCAATAGGGACACTTGACATTCTGACACCACACAAAGCACCTGTCCACGTTTCATCGGGATAAATGTTACAAGCTTGTGAAATGCGATGGGATATTGGTAAAGTTTATCATTACGAGTGTTATTATAAATTTTACGTTCATTTGTTTTATAAAGGTTAAGGTTACCAAAACATACGGGCCATTTAAGAAGATTATATGAAACAACATTTTGGCACAAAAAAAAAAAATAAATAAATAAATGGTACGATGGTCCCTAACCTGTACAATCCTTTCGTTGTATTTGATTTTTTTATTTTTTTTTTGATAGAACAAGAAGTTTATTATTGTTCTTTTACTTTTAACAAACTTTATTTGGTTAGGTTGAAACAGTTAGAAAAGAAAGGAAAGAGAAATTTTTTAAATTTTTTTAAAGTTTGAATAGATAAAAAGAGAAACTTAATGGAAAATTTAGTTTCTCAAATTGAGTATTTTTTCTCAAAATTTTTTTACCAAAAAACACGCGAAAATTTTATTTTCACTTGAAAGAAACCCTATTTATTTGCAGTTCCTATTTTACCTATTAACTTAATCGTGCAAAATTTTCTCCAAAACAACTTCTATTTCCCAACGCAAATTATATACTTATATATGTAGAATATCAATGATAGTTTGCATAAAATTACTCAAAATAAATCTTGTTTCTAAATAGAATTTTTTATTTTTTTCTGTTCTATATTGTAATTCTAGTCACTCATAATCTATATATATATATATTTTATGGTGAAATATTTGATTTTTCTCCTAAACAGTAGTATTGTCTCTTCATCTCTATATTTATTTATTTTTAATTTGTTTATCTTAAACTAATTATTAGTTTTACTTAGGAAAATATTATGAAACCTTATTCTATATATAAATAATAGAAATGAATATAAACAATTATATATTTGAATTTAACAATCCATCATTTTACTTCATAAGGGTAGTTTTGGTATGTATAATCACTTTCTTTTCATTATCCAAACTAACAAACTAATATTTTTTTACAATTTTCTTGGATAAATTTTTATATTAACTAAATGCATGCTAGAAAATATCTATTCTTTTCATTCACTTCACTTTTTATTTGTTTTTTATTTGTTTTCTTCTCTTGCTTATTTCTATATAACCAAACAGAACCTTAAGAAAAGACTTATCCATTTGTAAATGGAATTTCAATAGCAGCTAGCTCTATAGATTGGTTGAAATTGAAACAATTTAGGTTGAATTGTTGAAAGCCATAGTGCTTATACCTAGAGCAGTGAACCAGAACTAAATAGGGAGAGGGGGGCCGCCGAATACACCAGCTACGCCTAACATGTTACATTATGGGCAATATGAAAAACTAGTGTTTTGTAGAACTACATGTATATAATATAATAGAATAATTTAAGAGGCTTTGTGAAATTAACCCTCTTTTGGTAATTTTTTCTTTTTTCTTTTAGGCCCACAAATGTTTACATGATGGAGATAGTCACTTTCTTACCTAGTAAACTTTAATTATGACGAAAAAAATTGTTTGATCGAATATCTACAAAATTATTTTGGCCGACACTTGGAATATTTTCCTTGAATATGATTTATTTTCAAGTTCCGCATTGGAGTTTTCATGTCAGTTGTTACTTTTCACAACTAAAACGACTTACCCAAAACCACTCTCGTACATGTAGATCAAAGGGAATCATCATCAATTTTTTCTGAAATTGACAAATATAGTTATATTCTTACTTTAACTTGGTTGGTTGCTATAATACCCCTGTAATTTCATATAAAGTAGTTTCTAGTTTCGAGATATAAGAAGTCCAATCTATACCATCTAACCACAGTGAAGAAATGAGTTAATTCTTAACCAATATTCATGTCGTTCTGAGGGCGAGAATTGGGTGTGCACAGAGTTATGTTTAATACATCCTTCAAATGTGTGTGTGTATATATATATATATATATTAACACAGTAAAGGGACGTTAAGAGCAACAGAAACAGAAATCAAACTGAGAGAGGACTGATCCATCTCAATTCTTGCAAGAAGCCAGATTCTTTTGATCGAAGACACCACCGACTGATAACATGAGCGATGCCTATGCAAACTCGAGGAACCCATGACAGGGTGCAATCCGGAAGAGAAACCTTTAGGGGCTTGATGTCTTCAATCACCACTGAAAGCAGGGTGCAAATGTATCATATCAAACAACAAATACTAAATGTGAGAATAAACTGCCTTTGGAATTGGCTGAGTGGCCTGGGGTTGTTTCTGGACTAAAGATATATGAGTATATTGATTAAAGAAGGAAAATCAGTGATCAACTGGTACAAATGTATGAACTTCTTTTGAACTACTAGATACGGTATCGGTTAAGTCACGGCCCTTTGTTTCTAAGGGGAAGAGCAGGACACAGATTCCAGAAACAAATACCACAATCTCAAATAGAACAATGGCTGCAGCTTGATGACAACCATGAACCAGACCTACTGCCACGAGAGGACATATCATTCCACCAATTCTTCCCACCGAGCTTGCAACCCCGACACCAGTTGTTCTTACTGATGTTGGGTATATCTACAAATTTGAAACAGAAAAACAGAGAGATCAATTGTTTAGCTAAAATGTTTCCTCATATGAGAAAATGCAGACTAGTAATAATAATAATAATAATAATAATAATAATCAAAGCCTCAAAAAGGAAAACTAAAATCCCTTATATTCGGACCTTCACATCTTTAATCTCTTTCTTTCGTTCAAATATTTAGGGATTAGAAAGGGAGAGGGGGAAGAAGGGTAGGAAGTAACCCAAACTCAATCTCAACATGGTGTCTGATCTGAGTGTTAAATAGTTCACTTCAATCTCGCTCTTTCTTTCTCCGTCTTTGCTTTATGTGATAAGAGGCTGAGCAGGAAGTAAACCAAACTCAAGTCCAACATGGTGTCTGATTTGAGTGTTAACCACTGAACTATTTTTTATTGATATCATAGTTCAAATAAGCGGAAAGTGAATAATTCATCTAAAACCCAACCAAAGATAATCTATATGAGATGGAAAGCACTAAACTTTTTCAATTTATAACTTTAATAAATATTATTATACTTCAAGACCAAAAGAATAAATAAAGACCAAGAGATAGAAAAGAAAGCAGATGAACATGAAAATATAAGACAATGTAATTCATGAAACATGCTACATATCAGCTAAACTCTCAGGAACATACATTGGGAACTTTTTTTAGTGCAACAAAGTTCTGTTTCTTTGTATTTTGTTAAGGAAAAAACAAAAGAAAATGACTGGCAGAAACTTGCTAGGGGAAGATTTCCTATAATCTGAGATGTATAGCTCATACTAAAATCAAAGTGATACTTGATGGGTAAAGAATTACAAAATTTAAATAGAAAATGCAGTTATGATCTGGCTGCTAACAAAAGGGGACAAATTTTACATTGTGAAATGGTGGGCATATTTGGAGAAGGCCATGTCCCTGCACCCACTCGTGGTTGTTTGGAAAAGAAAAGTACACGAGAAGCTACATTATGTGGACTCTGGAATTGCATGTCTTCACATTTATTAAATCTAAATATTTTAAGACAAGGGAACACAGTTGAGCTTTTTTATCATACAAAATGATCTTCACCTTACTAACAATTTGGCAAAATTCTTAAAAGTTTGTTAGAACATAGACCTACATATTTTCATTAATTTTGGATTAACCATGTTATTAGGAATGTCTCAATGGTATCCAACAGTAGAATTGTTCATCTATTCAGTAGATGTGTTGGTTCGGTCACCTCTATGAAGCAGATGTTATGGACTCGTTAACATATCTTCTGTTGCGAAAAAGAGAAAAAGGGCCAAAATCAAGTATTCTATAAAAGTAGAAGTGATGGTATTGTATCTGAAAGGAGGGCCGAGGGTAGGGTTAGATTCTCACAGTTTGTCATAACTCATAAAAACAAAAGAAGAAGAATATGAAAAATAAGAAGAAATAAGTGTTTTTCAATTACTTTGTTGGACACCCCTACCTGGCAAGTGTCTAATAGTTATACTATAAACGGTCATACGCACATGTTATGACTCTACCCATGTCTTGTCGTGCCCAACATGGGAACTCCACAAGTATTTGAGCGTCGATGTAGTATAGACGAGATTGCCAATAGGCAACCTACATTGGAACATGATATATCTCCTCATCGTTTCCAGGATTTCGTATTTGTGTGGTTTTGGATACTAAAACAGCTAAATTAAGATTGCCAATAGGTCTACCCCATCAAACTAATCTGCATAGGAACAATAGAAATCTCACTCACGTTTCATGATTCCTGGGGGGAGGGGTTGGGGTGGTTCATTGGCAGGTAACAAAAATGATGACAAAGTAACCAAATAACTTACCTCTGGAGCATATATATAGACTACTGTGAAGGTTGCTGTAATGCATATGCGAGCTCCGAACAGAAGAACAGTTGTTAAACCCTGAGGCTGATGGAATACCAACGGAAGTAGGAATATGCAACACAGGAAGAACATTGCAGACATTGAGAACTTACGACCAAGTTTATCGACAGTGGCAGCTGATATAAGGAGCCCAGGGAACTCTTGAAACAAATCAAAGTTAAATGTCACTTAGCCTTCTTTTTGGGGTGAAAGAACATCCAATCAAATGAGAATGTAAAGATTTTTTCATATTGAATTGAAAAAGGAAAAACATAAAGAAAACTAAACTGCTTTGTCGATGGATCAGATTTGATCCGAATCCAATCCTATAAGTCAGATACGGATTAAATGTTAAATTCCATAATCTGTTAACGATCCAAATCCGACAAACCATTAGATTAACAAACTAAATATGAATTATGATCAATCTAATTCGATAATAATCAGATCTGATATAATGTAGTATACAATATATTAGACATATATTATCTAATGATATGATATATAAATCCTCACTCTTTCCTCTTCATTTTCCCTGTGTTTTTCTTTAACAAAGAGTCAGAGATCCAAATTTTCTTTTCTTTTCTGCCCACAATTTTTTGTCTTGTCTCTTTTATTTATATTTATTTTCCCATCTTTTTGACATAAATTTTTTAACAAAAAATTGCACATATTAACAAATAGGATAATCGAATCAAATTTCCAATCACGAGCAAACCAAATATGGATTCACTAATAGATAATCTGTCGGATTTGGATCTGATTGAGAATATTATTTATCTGATTCGGATCGCATCGAGCCTCACCTGATCCATTGACAAGTCTAACTGAAACATACATAAAGCTATACCTGCAAAACTAGTGATGAAAACATCGCCGTAGCTAATATCCTGTGGTTTGTCTGATTGCAACTCTTTTGGCGTGCACTTATTATGTCCACTGTTCAATTCTGTTGTCAGCAGAACAAGGCCATAATATGAGAATGCGTTCCCAAAGAATACCACCCATAATATCAAGGTAGACTTGATTAATTCTGGTGAAAGAAGCATAAACAGTGATGAAGTGCGTCCCTTTTTTGAATCCTTAGATCCAGTTGTTGTATTTTCATCATTACTGGGTGGGAGTAAATGTGTATCTTCTGATTCAGTAGACTTTTCATGTAGCTCAATTTGGTGATCAGAAACAAGAATGCCGGGAGGGAGTTTGGTTCGGTTCATCCTTGCCACTTTCTCCAAAACATTAAGTGCGTCATCTGTTCTTCCTTTCATGCATAAATACCTTGGTGACTCAGGTGTCAAACCATAGAACAGTAGGAGCAGCGATGAAGGAAAAGCAGACAGTGCAAGCAGCCACCTCCAACCCAATGTTGGCATGACAAACTGCAAAGAACACAGAAAGATAATGAAGATTTAAAAATAAAAGTTTTTCTTTTAAAGATAGAATAGCCATTTTAAATTTGAATAAGAAATTAGTCTTCAATTTTTTGCCATACAATTGTTACCTCATTCAACAGTTTGAATGATTTCGATTGAGAACCATAACAGATTGCTACATTATGTTGCCACTAACATGGAATGAACCAAAGAAACCCGCCATGAAACCCAATTGCTAAATCTCACTGCCTAACAATTGCCCATTAACATACACGACTTTTATCTTTAAGTGCAGGCATAGATTTAAAAAGGAGGAGGTGGAGTCAGGAATTGAATTTTTACATATTGATAAAAAAAAAAAAAGATAAAGATAAAGATAAAAAAAAATGAATATTGAACAAATGCAAAAATAAAAAAAACATAAAGGCTTGTGAATGGTAAAATAAGCTGTATCAATTCTTATTCTTAGAACCAAAAATTTCATATATGCACTTTAACAATCTGTAGCATTGGCGATAAGCAACACTGTCTATCCCTTTAGCTACTTCTTTAAAGATCATATACATAACACAGAACATATTGTGATTATAATCATACCCATGCAAGTGATGCCTCAAGAATTGTTCCAAGAGTCCAGAAAGCTGAAAAAACAACCATCCAAGTGCCTCTATTTGGAGCAGGAATGAATTCTAAAAACCAGGATGAGAGAACAGGCCCGCCTCCCAAACCGATACCAACCAAACAACGAAGAATAAGCAGTGAAATATAATTTGGAGCAAAAGAACTTAGAAAACCAGCTCCAGAAGTTACTATTGCTGTAATGAGGAATCCTTTCCTGTAAGTTAACAAAAAAAAAAAAAAAAAAAAAAAAAAAAAAAAAAAAAAAAAAAAGAAGAAGAACATTTATCAAACTCGTCAGAGAAGAAGAGTTATTTTTAATAAGCTAAAGCCAAAAACAGTTTCCAAAACAAGTTGAGAGTGGGGGAGCCATGGCCGAAAAAGGAAGTGGCAAACTGAAAGCATCAGAGTAGGACAGAGAAGGATGAAGCAGCTGTTAATTGCCATTGACTCTAAAAGCTTAAGCTGTTGAGAGGGTGTAACTTAATTATATACATCCTCCACATGCCCCTCGCATGTGGCCAGATTTTCGTCCAACATGTTATTAATTATAATTATCTGGGTGACAGCAAGGTTTGAATTCGGGACTCTTTGATACCGTGTTAACCACCATCTATTCTAAAAATTGAAGTTGTTAAAGAAGGTTTTACTTAGAAAGCATTATTGGAACAGTACAATTAGCATAAGAGAATCATTCTTGAACACCACAATTAGCATAAAAGAATTATTTTTAAGTAACTGAAAAAAGTAGAAACATTGAAAGCACCAAGATCTAGACAAGAAAAACATTGGCCTTCACATTTCCATTACAAGTCATGATATGATAGTGAGGAACCAATACTGTAATTTACTGGTCAGTATTAAATCATTGACAGTATCAGCAACAGTTGACAAACTCAATTAACAGTGACACCACTAATAGAGAAGGGGAACTTCCACTAATCATGGATGCATTAGAAGTAGGGTGTAACCTGATCTTATCAAACGAAGACTCACCAACTGTGAGTAGCTTATCTAAATTTTCAGTGCCTTGGGAGAACTTTACATTAACTCTTTCCATTTCTTAACTTCACTTTCTAAATTGCCTTTAAATAAACACCTTCTAGGTTTAAAACTTCAATTACTTCTTGCTCTAGGAATTTAACTTTGCCAATTAAGTCTTCCTTTACCTTCTCTAGTTCTTCTACCAAAGCTAAATTCTTAGTGTTTTATTTTTCAGTTTCCTCAGTATTCTCAAGTTGCTTAATTTTCTCATTGAGCTTTTTACTAACTTCCTTAGCGTTCAGTGTTTTCTCAAATAATTCATTATACTGATTTTTGTACAATCTAGCATTCCTTTCTAACCAGATGTAATATACAGCAGCTTAGATAGTCAGTTTACCCAGCATAATTTCAAGTTTATTTCCCCTCAAATGTGAATTTCAAACATGTAATCATTGGCATGCACATTCCTAGAATCAATCTCTAAATGTAATGTAAGAAGCTGGGGAAGTATACATTGTTCTTTCAAATTGCAACAGTTAAAAATAGTAGCCTACAGTCATTCTAAGGTGCACTATAACCTTTATACTTGAAAATTAAATGGTCTGACTCAATCTAATAGATGGTACCTCTCATAGAAAAAGTGCAGTAAGTGGTTGACAAGTAGAAGCTACAAATAGAGCACTTATACCCCTTGTCATTTTATTTTAGTAATTCACACATATTGTTGCAAATAATATACAAGAAGGCCTCTTTTTAAATTCTGGACAATCTAGAACATAAGGCTGTATCAATAATAAAAGATTGCTCACAGAAAGTAAGAAAAAGGAAACTATCTCACCTCCTCCCGTGGTTGTCAGAAACAACGCCCCATGAATATGCTCCAACCAACATGCCAGCAAAAACCACACTGGTTATAAGGCTCTCTTCGTGAGAAGAAAGACCCCAGTTTGATTGAACTGCTGGTCCTACAAAAGAGAGAAGCATCATTTCCATAGCTTCTGAAACCCAACCCATGCCAGCATAAGCAAGCACAAGAATTTGGAATTTTCCAAAACCCATGGTGACAAGTGCCTCATCCACAGTGTACGTTTCACTCTCATCTCCCATCTACAAAAAAACATGAAAATTTTCATTCATGGTTTAGAAATACATGTAGAAGGTTGCTTCAAAGCATGGCATGTGATAAATTATTTCACGTGAAACACTGCAAAAAAATTTACTGCTCAATTGTCACGTTTCTTCTTCAACAAAACTATGAATATCATGGGATATGGGCTGCCATTACAAGAACAAGCAATTAATAAAGGCTTAAACTCCATGTGCAGAGTGACACCTTTTCTCGAATCTCAACAGTAGCCATGATTGCTCACAATATTGGAAAAGAGCTATAGCCTATATAAGTCTCTTCCATTGCATATTTCCGAACCACTTTCTAAAGCATGTTTACCAAAGTTTCCAGATGATTACTAAAAGGCATCTAGCCCAATGGTATAACCTCCCCGTCCTCAAAGGGGAGGGGAAGGGAGGGGTTCGAGCCACGGTGTGGGTAAAAAGTGCGTGAGTAGGTGCGTGAGTGTGTTTCTTGCCAAAGTAAAAAAAGTTTCCTAATGATTATGTTGTTTCTATGTTGAACTTTTATGAGGAAACATGTACCTAATCCAATGAGGAATTTCATTTGCAGTAATAAGCCTAAAGTGACTGCAATTCAGAATATCAATCATAGAATATAAACAATACAGCAAGAGCATACATGATAGCAGGCTCAGATATAGGACGGCAGAACCACTTATTCTCAGGAGGTTCAAAAGTTCAAGACCTGGTAGAATTGTCCTTTAAGAGTACATGAATGTGCCTAGATGCATGCATATATAAACTACTACTTTGATAGCATCGAGACAGCATCCAAGTGACCTTACAATTAGAGGCTGGAGTCTCCAGATATAAATTCACAAAACAAGTATAATCAAGCATCTGTTTATAATATATAGACACAGGCACTTGCAAGAGTGGCAGCAGAGGGCATCTCAGGGACCTCCACTTTAGGAGATTGGAAAAATTAAAACTTAATAGCTGCAATATTTATAACATTACACAAAATTTGTAAAAGATATATCTGGAATTTAAAATCAATATAGAAGTAGACTCAAGTTATATTTGAGGTTAGATGATTGCTCTTAAATATTTAAACTTGAGCAAGAATGCAATTGATATCTAGTTTCTTAGACCCATCTGAAGATTTGCAATCGGAATACCCCATGTTCTTACACCATAGATTATTTTGTAGATTTCTATTTGGGCTTGGCAATGATTTGATCTTCTCTCAAAATTTATAGAGCTTTTGTCATGGTAGGCATTATCACCCACATGTTTGTTTGGAGTGTGTCACACAACAATTACTAGGGGAATTTCAAGTCTAACCACCAATCTATAACTTGTTGAGCGTTTTAATAAATTGTCCCCTATAAGGAAGGTCAGGCACAGATTCCATAACTGGTCACCCTAAGGTATGACCTGAGTCCTAGCCTCTTCCTTCAAGGGCTATCACTCCCATGACCATTGATCACTTCTTTTGCTTTTCGTCCAACTTATTTAGAATCATTTCGATTACAGTGCACTCCTCCACATTAATATTTCACATTCTCTCCCTAAATTTCATCCATCAACAGTACTTTACACATAAGCACGTGTCAATTAACATATGGTATACAATATTTTTCTTGAACATGTAGAATATTGACACAAAGCTTAATCAGAAACACTTTTGCCGAACAATCACATGTTATGGTACTTTCCAATAATTTAATGATCTTCCAAAATGCCACAACCGAATATGAACTGTCATATCTTTAAGTATATTAAAACGTGCAAGGATTTCCCCCCTCCCATTAAACTTAAAGATAGTTTTAAGTAAAAAAAAAAAGAAGAAAAAAAACGAGTAAGCATTGCTATTATAGTTCCAAGCCATCCTTCTCAACTTCCTGTTTCTTAAGATTTACTTCATCATTCTCTCATATATTTTCTTCAAAATTCATAAGTGTAATCCAACTTTAATTGGTAGCGAATTTCTGAACAATATACTAATTAGAAATGACTTAAGTACTTGAAGTGGCAACCCAATTAAAGATAAGAAAAGTGTGATGCAAGCTTTCTAATATAAGAGATAAAAGGCTCAAGGTCATAAGCTAAATCTAACCCAATATTTAAAAATTCCTACAAAATATATTTTTTCTAATAGTCAACGTTACGATAGTTAAAACCCTTCTTTCAACATGTTCAAATAGTATTAGGTTTTATTATATGAAAGGAAACCTAAATAGCCATTTTGAAACAATGTATTTTCTATGAAGCTCATCAAAACTCATTCAGACACAAACTTTCATTTCTGGGGTAAAGTAACACGGCCCAAGTTCACAGAAAGTATTGGAAGACATGAACTTGTTAAAATTCATAAAAGACACCACTAACATCCTTTTGATAGACTTTAAATGTTGCCAAGAGAATCTCTCTCCTAATTGATCTGATTGTTTGAGAAATTCATAGAATATATTTCAATACTTAACATTTCAACATCACAAAATTGGTATAAATTTTTGTTTGTTAAAAATACAAATTGTTATCCATAATCCACCACAGAACCAAGTTGGTTTCTCAAAAATTATAAGCTGATGGAGTATTAATTAATCAAATATTAGTAATGTGGGAGCTGATTGCACCTACTTATCAATTTAGTACCATTAATTTTGCATCTATATAAGTAAAATGTAACAATTATTACCAATAATTGAAATAGGATGCACATTTATGTGTGTTATAGAAGTGAAGAAGCAGAGGATATGAGGAAATTCCAAGCATAAGGAGAAGTGGCAAGCACATTGTTTTCTTGTTCTATAGATTGTAGGATCTAATAATTGAATCTTCTTGGTTCGATGATCATTAATATAAAATATAACAAATAAACAAACAAACAAACAAACAACAGCAGATCCATCAAACCATTAAATTCACAACCAGAAAATGTTACGAAAATTCACAGCCAGAAAATGCTAAGAAAATAAATGAAATGAATTGAAGAGGGAAAATAAACGATTGCCAACCTTATTGAACAGGAGAGATCGAGTATCAGAACAGGAGTAATATCTTCTCTCTTTCGTCAATTTCTTTGTATCGACGCCAAAGCAGAAAGTCAAAATGAAAACAAATAATGTCTTTTCAATGCATCTGTGTGTTACCGTGTGTATATGTATCGTCTACGCAGAATCTTAACGACCTTGTCAATTGATTCAAAATGTCAAAAAAATGTGGTGGGAATGGATTTTAGGTCTTTCTTTCCTGTTCCCGACGTGAGTCTCAAATATAACGGGGAAGGGGCTCCGACAAGAGCCGGGTGCGTGTTCATTTACATACACCCTGCAAAAAAGGTGCACCTTGTCATGCGCGAATTTTTTACTATAAAAATCAAACATGACTCGTATCATTTATCTAACTCTGAATTATAATTATTTTATGCTAATAAATAAATAAATAAAAGTTATGTAAAAACAATAAATACATCAAATTAAAATCTTAAATGTTTTATCTTAATTAAATAAAAAAACCAACACTTGTTATCTTTCTTTTGATAAAAGTTGATTAAAATCTCAATTAATCAACTTTTATCAAAAGAAAGATAACAAGTGTTGGTTTTTTTTTTTTTAATTAAGATAAAACATATAAGATTTTAATTTGATGTATTTATTGTTTTTACATAACTTTTATCAAAAGGGAGATAATAAGTGTTGGTTTTTTATTTAATCAAGATAAAACCTTTGGTTTGGTCATTATTTTTGACGGGAATAATAAAAATTAAAATTAATCATAAAAGCACGTATAAAGAGATTTATTTTATATGTAGATGAAATTATATATTTTTCTCATTTATTTTAATTTTAAGATTTACTTTTATTTCTGATTAGTATGATTTTAAATTTATTTCATACTTAAATCTATTATGATTCATTAAATTACTAACAATTAACTATAATTATAAATTATTTTTAACAAACAACAATAATTTTAAAAAGTTCAATAAAAATCACTGCAAACCAATTACTGCACGTATGGTAGAAAATAGTATATCAGTGCATTTTGAGATTTGTCCCCAAAATAATAAAAATTATATAAACTCATGTCCGTGATAATTGACTCCGTTACATTATGACAACTCAAATTCAGCGCATTACACCACGTTTGGTATAGTCAATGATCAATGTTCTCGAAGTTGTCCATCATTATTTTTATTTATTTTATTTTTATTAGCAATAAACACAACTCACTCTTGTATTTTGTCCACACTTGATCTCGAAACACTCCATTTTTCACAAAAGCTCCATTTTTCATTAAGGTTGTGTTTGGGAGGGTGAGTTTGAAGGGAGAGGATAACATTAATTATGAGGGAAAGGGAATGGAATGATAATTTTAGTCTCCTATCGTGTTTGGTTGATTATTAAATAGAAAAGAAAGGGATGAATAATAATTATGTTTGGGAAAAAAAAGGGAAGGATAGGAAGGAGAATTAGTTTAATAAATTTACTATTATGCTTTTTTATATTTTAAAATATAAATATATAAATATATATATATATATATATATTTATATATTTGTCTCCTAAAGGCCCATGGATCGGACACCAGAAAATGAAATTTTTTTTTAGGGCAAATCATTTCGGCCTCCATCTCTATTCTCGTTCTCAACTCTAAACTTGCCCTCTCTCTCTCTGCAACTGCAAACTACTACAAGAATTAGAAGTTCAAAATTCATATATTTCAGTTTATATATTTGTCTACAAGAATCAAAACTTCAAAAACCATATCGGCATCATTTCAGATTGTTCAAAAAATCAAAACCCAATTTTAGATTGTTCAAAAAATCAAAACCCATATCGATCTTTCAAGTTTCCATCGCCCGCTGTTCCAATTCGGGTTCGCCGTTCGCAAGCTTTAGCCACTAGCCCTCTCTCTCTCAACTTAAGCTTGCCCCCCTCTCTCTCTACAACTGCTAAATCAACTAATGAAGGTCTGTAATTCTTGTTTTGCAAACTAAATTCATCCCTTCTCTTTCCTTCCTTTGCCATTGCACCAAACTGACCCTAACGCTCCGTTTGTTTCATCGTAAAATATATTTTGAAAATTATTTTCCTTATTTTTCGAATTTTAGAAGACTCCAAGGTCAGGACATTATTTTTGGTGTAAATCATTTTACCCCAAAATGATTGAAAATAATTTACCAAAAAGTTTCAGGAAGTAATTTTCTACAGGCTACCTTGGATCATCTAACCATTCATATTCTTATTAAAACCCTTTGTCTCTCTAATAACTAATCTTCTGCAATCTTTGCAGTCTTCTCAATCTAAAAATCTAATTTTTAGGCTTCTCTATCTATATGCATACATAGATTGAGAGGAGGGAGAAAGAGGGACACAAATTAGGGACACAAATTTGGGTTGGTCGAAGAATAAATTTGGATCGAGAACATGTTCAGGTATAGAGAGAGTGGGGAGAGAAAGTAACGAGAATGAGATGGAGGGATGGTTTAGTGTAGAAAGAGAGCAATGAGGAGAGAGAGGGATGGTTTAGGGGGTATTATTATCGGTGAAGAATATTGAAAAAAGAAAAATGGTTAATTGCGCACAAAAATTGATTTATAAAATATTTTACGAACCATTCTCAAATACTGAAAAATAAAAGATAAAAAAATATATTTTATATGAACATATTTTGTTTAAAAAATATTTTACAACAAAAACATTTGTCAGCCAAACTAACAGATCCTAAGGTTCTGTTTGTTTGGACGTAAAATATGTTTTTGAAAAATATTTTTTTTGTTTAGGTAAAATAAAATTATATTTTTATTTTTTTGATATTTGGCAAAGGTCTAAGTCGAAGTTAAGATTGAATTTATTGGAAGTATTTAAGATTACTTGTAAAAAATTAATGAATAAGTTATTTTTATTAAATTTTAAGATTAAATGGTGATAAGTTATTTTTGCCCACACCTCACAAGATCCGCAACGTAGCCGCTGCTACAACCGATTAGGGCCTCTCTAAGCATAAATCCAGTCATCGTCCCATCTTCCCCGGCCACATATCTCCGATCAAAGGTAATTCTTGTATATAGGTATATTATTTGTATTCAAATTCATACAAATACACGCATATATACACATACGTTGATTGTTTAATGGACTACTATGCGATTTGACTAATTTTGTTGCTGTTGTTGGTACTGTAATGAGTTGCAATTAGAATTAACAAATGAAATTCATGGAGTGAGTAATCAATTGTGTTAAATTAGGTGAGAAACGTATGTGAATTCTAAACTTGATCTGTATTAATTTTACAATAAAATCGTTCGGTGCTCTTTTATGTACTTGGGGACCGATTAGTGTTCTTTAAAACTGTTTTTTTTTTTTTTTTCTTCCGCTTTTGTTGGAAATTTTGCTTTCATTTTTTTGGAATTAGGTAAGGATAGCAGTTGACGTCAGCATCTTGCCCAGCAAAATCCTCAATCCTCGTGCATCAAAGACAGATTGTCGTCGTCATCGGTGGCGCGTACAGTTGCTGGCGACAAATGATAGAGATGGACCTTGAACAAAACAGTGGATGTGGTTACTGTAGAAGTCGTGAATCGTGATCATCGGTCATCCCCATGGTCGTGATTTCCTCTTCCATCCCTTTCCTCTCTCCATTCCTTCTCTTTGAGCAAACCATCAAAAGATTAGAGAGAGAGTATGAAAAAAATGGAATCTTTTAATTCATTTGTTTACTGATTTTCTAGTCAGCTTCCCTCTGGGAGAGGATTTTGAGAGAAACCCAGTTGTTTTTTGGTCATTATTTTGCTTCTTTCAGTCTCAAGGCCTCTGTTTGCGGCATTGTACTATTGATAAAGGGAAAACACATTGGTTTCTTGGACTTTTTCTTCATTTTCCTTCACTTTCTCTCCTTTTAACTCATCAAGAACTTTTTTTTTTTTTGGTTAAAAGGTAAGCTTAACTCATCAAGAACTTGTTACCTAGTTTCGTCCTCTTTCAATCGAGCACTCTCCGGTATTGATCTGTTGAGAATGGACCGGTGATGAATCCGCCATAGGAGAAGTGCAGAAGAAAGAGAGGAAACCAGTTGAGGGTAAAAACTTCTAACAATTTTTAAGAATAATAATGTAATTGAAATAATGGAGGGTAATTTAGATATTTTATTTTATTATTTTAAAAAGAGGGAATGTAAGAACTAATTAAATCAAACCTCAGGTGAGAGATCACTTAATTCTAAATTTTAATATTTTTTTCTTGATAAATATTTTAGGACAATCAAATATCAAAAAAAAAATTATATTTAAAAAAAAAAATTTACATCCAAGGAACCCTAATTATAAAACTATACTTTACAGGACTACTTAGCCCAAGCTTTAACCCACACTTGGTCGACTATCCCCCGGACAAGCCTTTTTTTTCACAAAAGCTGTCAAAGGAAAAAGGGGTTTGCACTCAAAGAATACATGGTTTTAAAATCATCAATGTTGCGGCAACTCAAAACTCTACCTGGAATCCTTTTATCAGAATTAACAAATTTGCTGTTAAATTTAAACAATAATTATTTTTAACATCTCTATTTATAAATCCTCATGAATTTCATCGATTTCAGACGAGTTACTAAACTAACTCGTGTATTTTATTTTTTCATAAGAGTGCACTGAGATTTAGGCTTTTCTCAAAGAATTTCCTCAATTTTCAAACCAATATGATTAATTGTGTAAAACCCAAATCCAAATTTGTACAAATATCCAGCAAATTCTGCAAAAGCAAATAGTTTCCTTCTTGTATAAAGCATCAGGTTCATCAGTTGTGAGTACACAGCTATGATTAATGTTGGCACAGTCCCTACATTCGCTGTAAATTACTAGAACCGGGGCTATACCCACCCTCGATTTTAGCACCTCCGTCAACACAGTGCCACCTCCGCCTACGGCAGTGCGGCCTCTACATCCTTGGCCACAATCTTTCTATTTAACCCACTACCCACCACTGACCACACCACTACAATTTTCTTTTTCTTTTTTAATAACCAAAATGGTTACATTGTGTTGAAGCATGATTATGCAACAAAGTGGTGAAACTTGATCAACATCGGTAAAGTGTCTACCAAGAGCTATCAAGTCCGTTAAGAATTTAATGTATTAATTGTCCTATGCCTCTTTGGTTGGTAAGAGGTGAGGAAATATTCAAAGAGATTCTTTCTTTTGAATTTGAACGGTTGCGATTTACTTGTTACAGCTCAACTGTTTTTGTTTAATCTCAAATTTTTCGTCTACTGTTGAACTATCTTATCCAATCCATTTGGACTATCTTATTTAAGTTATTCTTCTCACATTGATTTCGTGATCATTCAAAATCTTAT